TATATATATATATATATATATATTTTTTTTTTTTACGAATATAATTTACTTCCTTCCCAGAATCCAGAAATGTTTGCACCTTCTGAGTGAGAAGTTTAGACATCTCTACGCTGATTTAATGCGTTAACTTAAGTTGAATATTTTCTTATTTAAATTGGTCATGCTTCTCATTCAGATGTACATATAACTAATAGGCTATAGAAAGAAAAGAACAGCAAACTCGATGAAGAGCAGGAAGTACGTCCGCCTTCACGAGCATACGCTTTATCGAGAGAGAGAGAGAGAGAGATTGGTGAATATCAGTTGAGAGAGAGAGAGATTGGTGAATATCAGTTGAGAGAGAGAGAGATTGGTGAAGATCAGTTGAGTCTTAGCACGGAGATCCGCAGTCAATGACAGCGCTCACATTCTCCTCTTGAAGGTGACGCACGAGGGATTATTCTAACGGTTATTGGTCATTTTTCTGTCGCCGTGTTTATCGGTGTGATGATTTCTCTCTCGGTCTCGATGCAGATGTTTGTGCTGGTCGGTGTGTGCGCGCTGCTGATCGCCGGAGCTTCTGCCCGCAACGACAACGGCAATTTTTTGGACGACAAATGGTTGACCGGGAGATGGGACAAATTCAGAGATGTGAGTGCTTCATAATAGTTGCTCATTCCCTAAATCTAGTGAGCTGCCTACCTAGACGGCGTTTTTGGGCATCGCAAGCGCGTTTGAATGGATGCTGACTAGATAGGCAGCTCACTCGGTTTTGAGACACTGCCTGTAATTTGGGTCCGTGTGTGTTGTTTGAGAGCGTGTGTCACGTCTTCTTACGGTAAGATGCTAAATGTTTAGTAAGAAGCAGCGTGTGATTTCATTTGGCCTGTATAAAAGCCCAAGTACGGCTTTCGTAAATCCGCATGTTTTGTATTAATTCAGTATATTACGGAAGACAGTCACCGGTCAGTTAGACTCAGTGCGTCACTTCTGCGCCGCTAAGTGGGCTTTGGAACGGCTATTTTAACCATCCACGGGCTAATACACTAAAGACGAGGTCTGAACTAGCTTTGTGTCTTTCAGCCTGAGCACTTGGGTTTGTTAAATACAAAGACCAGAAATGAGAGCATCTTACAAACAACAACAAGTATTTCCTTCACCTGCGGATGTTGCGATGCTTGATGCGTGTGCGTGCGTGCATGTGTTAGTGCAGTGATTTTCAACCGTGGTACACTTACCCCAAAGATATTTTACCTGGTTATAAGGATTTTGCTTTGTTAAACTTATAAAACGGTAATTATGACTTATTAAATTAGGCATATATATATATAT